ATTAAATTTTGAGATTATGACTGTTATGAAATGTCAGTAAAACATTTTTTTAAATACAAACATTACGAAGTTAAAAAATTTATTAATTTTTCCAATTATTATATATATACATATATATATATATGTATATACACAAAATAAAAAAGTTATTTGTAAATTATTATACATTGATGTAGATTAGATTATAGTGTTACGAATTTGATGATCTTTCAAACATGCTAATGCAAGCGCCCCGCGCCATCTATTAAATTCGCAGATCATATTCACATGGTTCCTAAGGTCAATCCTTATTCCCTGTTAAATATCAAATATACCTCTAATGAAATGCAACAACCTTTTCCATGCGACGTTTCACTACTGTTTAATCTACAGCTAATCTGATGACCGATAGAGACTTGACCTTTTGAAATGGGCATTTATCTTTGATCACGAAATTTGAGAACTATCACATATATACCCGCAATAATTATTAGCTAATAGCGCTAAAGTTTGTACGCAATTGCTTTATTAAGGTATAGAAAGACCGTTGCATAATGCGGAATATATTGCTTAACAAGGTGAAACTAGAAATAAATTAAAGTTGTTCTTCTTGTACAGATAATACTATCTGGTATTGCATCTTGAAGTGTAACTGAATCATTCACTTTAATAAATCATTTAATAAAGACTGCAGCAAGCTATCATGAAATTATTTATAGAGTAAGTTATTTATAAGATAAATATCAAATTTATTAATGTGTACAAAGAAACAACAGATTAATTTGATACTTTATTGCTGCAGATATTACAATCAAAATAATAATTATGTATATGCTTCTTATCAGTGCTGTGGCGACGGAATTACACGAAAGAAATTCAGTAACGATGACAAACGTGTGTCAAGCGACATTATCAGTTTTCAGATTTATTAATTTCAAAATTCGTGTACATTCAAGTAGCTAAACTATAGTGTTTTGTATTTTGATTGAATGACAGTTTTTCTCGACATTGCGAGAGATATCTCTTTCTTCGTGTTCTAAATAAATAATCATTGTTTAGAATATGAAAAGCGCTATCTTTTAATTGAGAAAATAAATTTTGTTATTATTTAAACCGATTGTTCTGCGAATTCTCTATCTTCCATATACAATCTACATATTTACAATAAATATCCATCGATCATTTTAGGAATGGTTTCAAATGCTTGTTTTAAAAAATCATGTAATTGTATTTCGTAATTCACTAATATAATCAAACGTTTATTTCTTATTAAAAATACTGTAGCAAAGTCATTTAGATGTTTGAAAAAAAATACAAATCTATTTACCCTCGATTATTGACACATATTCACACGAATATCTGACTTGGGATGAGTCGATTCTAGACCTAGAAAAACAATTGCGTTAGCCTTGAGCTACATGCGAGAGCAGTAAAAGTGATAGAACAAAACAACACCTTGATAAAAAAATTATAATTCCAGGTTGATATTTAGAACATTAAGCATAGCGAAGAGATTGGATTGCAGTTTTTTGCTATAAAAGATTAAAAAATTTTAGTCGAAAACATATAGAATATAGATTAGAAGATTTAAAATTTATTTCTAATTCTTGATGAAAATTTCAAGAGAAGGGAAACAGAAATAATAAAATAACCATTTATTACAATTTTTAATATCATATTTATATACTTTGATAATTAAAAATCAAGTTTATAATTAAAATTCTATGAAAGCTTATTACATAATTTTTCTACTTTTTATAGTAACGTGAGAAATTAGAATTTACTTCTTCTGCAAGCTTAATCGATAATGATTAATAGATATATAAGTAAATACTATGTAAAGACATTAATCATTATATATATAGTGATTACTGATAAATGTTAATAATGAATAATTATTAACATTGATAAAAAGATAGAAGAGTAAAAATTTTTTTGTTTTATTGTGCATGACTAGATATTTTATGGCGGCTCGGCTATCATGATTGATAGTCACGAAGTCTTGTCTGCGGCTTGGAAACGAAACCGAGAGATCTAGAATGTTAATGCCAAGGTTGTTCGGTCCATTGTCGATCTAAGAAATGCCATTGCCAAGGAAAGCTACTCATTATTCTAATGATCTTATCAACGGAACAGTTATAAGGAAGTTATGTCGATTCGTTATCGATACATCAGCCGATGTGTGAAATGATATGAGTCATAAATGGCCCATAAAAGAAATGATGTTCAGTGTCAGTGAAAATACAGCAATTATAAGTGAGAAAGCGGCATATGAATAATATCAACAGTCAATATTAATGAAATTACATAAAAATATATCATATAATATAAAAAGATGCAATTGTCCGAACATTGATTATTTATATAGAAAAATCTATATATATATATATATATATATATATATATATAAGGGCGAATAATTAATAATATTAATATTAGAATAATTAAGTATTTACACACACTTATATACTATAGGCGGTTGCATATAAATTTTCTCACGTTTTGGAATAATTCATTAGATGTTAAATACGCTCGCTATTATTCGTTCATCAAGCGTTAAGTAATGCTTATGTTATTCACGCATAAATATTTGTAAAATTGCTTAGGAAATTCTTACACGTAATTGTTCATAAATTAGTTTAAATTTATTTATTACATATATGTATATATACATATATATATATGTAATATAATATCAGAAACTTTTTTGATAATACCACACAATTGCGCAATATAAAATATATATGAACAATGTAACACTTGTATAATAAAATAAAATATAAAGTAAAATAATTATATATATATCAAATAAAATATAAAATAAAATAACTATATATTATAACAAAGTGCAATTTAATTTTTTCAAATACTTCATAAAATCTACATTATATGTATATGAACTAAAGAAGAATTGCACGAGAATAAAACTTACGCTCAAGAACAAAAATTAATTAAAATTTATGTACGCGGATGCATGTTATATAAGAAAAACAAACGATTAATAACGGTACTTGTTTGCAGGATTTTTCAATCATTAATTCATTGTTCCATCAATCGTAAATCTTCCGTTACGGGGAATTATATTATTCCCTGTATATCTACATGTATATCTTCAGGCGTTGTGCGGTGTGCAACCTATTATAAAATTTTAAATAATTCTCGAGTATCATTAACGACTATTAAGAAGCGGTTGTTACTGTAAAGTATCAGAAGGCCAATGCGGCAAAAAACGCGACAAAAAAACGAAAAATTAATAAGCATCTTTTAACGTATATACAATGTATGATAGATTTAGAAGTGAATGAAAAAAATATTGGTTCTTCATTGACTATAGTCTGCAATCGGCGATAATGATATGTATTATTAAATTCACACACACAGTTAAGAATGACATATTGCGAAAAATCCGTGACTCATAAACGTAATGTATTACGTATACATAAATGTATAGAACATATATAACAATTATTATTAGTACTATATTTTTAGTACTGGACGATATTAAAATTGTTCATGATTTTCACATTTTTGAAGTGATAATTGATATTTATCTGTAAAAAAACTGCTACACAATAATGAACACTTCTTATTGTACTTTTAGTATTTTATCAAGGTTGTCAACATAGCTGCAATGTGGGAAAAGTATCGTATTAAGTGGATAAGCATATAAGTGAACATTTTGAAAAATGTATTTTTATAGTATTTACACATAGTATACAGTAGCTTTTGATCGCGAGATTTTTTTCTGTCAGAATTGTATGTATGCAAAAAAAGAATAGAAGCGATAGTTGATTATATAAATAAAGCCACTTTAATGGTAACGTAATATACAGCATAAATAGCGCCTACTCTCCATAAAACGTGTTACTTATCTCGCTTTTAATTTTTATCTCATTTCCGTCTTCATTCGCTTAAATGTACAGTGTATATCGCTGCTACAAAAACCGTCATCGTTCTCTGTCCCTATAAATTATGTCTTAAATCGTAAATTATGCTTTCACTTAGATTTTGAGGCGTAAGCTTTGTCCGCAATACATTGTGTACTTTTTTTCTCTTTCTTATCTTTTACATCAGAAGTTGAACGCTTTGAATGATTATGCCGATATGCACTGTGTTAGAAAATGAAACACGTTAATACATAATTTTCATATCTCGTCAATGACCAAACAGCGTTGGCCATTTCCGTTAATATTCAAGATTTTAAAACGTTTCGTCGTATATGTAAAAAAAATAATACATTTATTTAACAATCGATAAAAAATTTCTCGCAGTCTCGCTATTTTTTCAAGCGGTTAATAGGAATTAAGTCTTATTATACACAATTGGGAGACTAGACATATTGAGACATTTTTCTTGCAAAAGATGTTTCAACCATTGTTTGATAATTAAAAAAATCTTAACAACATTTTGTGATTGCAACACTCCTTTAACAATAATATCACTTCGTTTCCTACTAATCACATTGCAATCCTCGTTTTGTATTTATTTGATCGATGGCAGAGTAGAAAACTATAAAATACTTCTTGAGCTTCTTTTCTTCACAAATTCAAAAATTTCATATTTCGTGTATTTTTACAACATATTGCATATTATTCAAAACATATATGTAATATTAAAAAAAAAATAAAATTACAATTTTTATGACAAATACATATGTGACAAAGTTTATAACTTAAATATAAAACAAACCATGAAGAATTGATCTTTTTTATGTATAGAACTATAATATAAGAAAAATATTTAAAATATGTATAGAAATATGGGATTTTTAACATATTTTTAACAAATAAATTGATATTTAATATTTTCTTCTGATAATGTGAATCGAACAGTAATTAAATAACAGAAATCAAATTACTTGAAGGAATGTATAAATTAAAACTGAACAGTTTGAATCAATAAATATCTAAATTACACTAATATGAACGTGATGTAGGCAACATAAGTCACTTTCTGCTTTGTTTTTCTTAATTGCATTTACATACTTATAAAATAGTAGATCCTAGTCCAAACATAAAATTTTTATTAAAAACCCATTATCTTTGGCTACTTTGGGTATGTTTATTTAAATAATTATAATAAAGTAATATTGTGTACAACTTGAATTAGAGTACAAGATGAGTTTGTAACGCATAGCTTTGCTTTACATCATGTGTTGCCCGTTTGGTGGAGCATATTGCGATTGTTGATTTACAGGTCCTGTAGGTCCAGGCGGACCATATAGCCCGGGTGTTGGGCCGCTTTGAGGTGGATATCTGCTATATAATATATTAAATTGTCACTTTTTGTATAAAAAAGATAAGAAAAACAAATAATATTCATTCAGTAAAACATGCAATTAAAGAATATTATCATATAATAACATAAAAAGATGTATTTTCACATACGCTTGTGTAATAATGTATTGTAATTTAAGTGTAACAAATGTCATGAAACTTAAAAATATTCTTACAATAATTTTGATCATAGCGTGGTTTAAGACGGAGTCTATAATAGAAGTTTTAGCGATTGTAGGGTCTTAAGTCATAGAAAATTGATCGATCATAATCGATTCGTAATTGTTCTACGACTTAAGATCTTACGACCGCTATGACTCTGTTGTAGATCTCACGTAAGATTAACATTACTATAAAAAGAAAAAAACATTAAACATACCCTTGTGGTTGATAAGGTAGGCTATTTTGATCAGGCGGTGGCAAAGATGATCCTTGTGGATGTCCAGGTGGATGTTGGTGGGATCCCGATTGAACATGAAAATGTTGGGGTAAAGTCATGTTTGGCATATTGGTAGGACCCATGTACTCGGTGCTTGGCAAACTCGCGTTATATGGCCCCACCGGACCTGAGGCTGCTCCAGTAGGGAACGGAGGTGGCATACCATTAAACATCTATTGAAGAATGTAGCAATATCAAGATATTCGCGCTATTATTATTATAAGAATCATTACTTAAATTCGAGGTACATACGTGAGTTGGTGGTGGTCCCGGATTGTGGAATGGATAAGGACTTATATGTGGCTGCATTTTAGGCAAAGTGTAACCAGACGGCGTTGGAGGTTCTCTCATCAGAGTGTGATACAAATTAAGAGCGTCAACCAAATCGGAACTTAATTGGGTAAGCTGCGCATGCCGCCTGTCTACTTTTTCCAAAGCCGCGTCAATCAAAGGCCCCATTGCAGTAACTTGATCTGTAAAATGTAATAAATGGAAATAGCGAATATATATAGTATTTTTCTAATTTAATGTTTTTCGCAGTTACCTTCTAAATCGAGCATTTCCTGAGGATCAGAGGTATCACATTGCGGATCAGCTTCGTGAAGCAAATGTAATAATCTATCCATTTTCTTTTCATCTATTTCAACTTCCACCACTTCAGGTTCACGTTTTACCATTTTTACTTCTACTTCTTCTGCGAATTGCACTAATTTCTTGTTACTATGTTCCAATTCTATTGATATAAATATATCATATATTAAAATTCAATCACAAACATATAATAAAAATTTGAGGACATTCAAACTTCAGAGTGCATAAAAAAATTTATTAGAGCATATATATCTTACTTGTAAACTGTTCTGGTTCAACAGACAAATCAGCAGTAACAAAATTGGAAGGAAAGAGCCCTTCACCTCTTTGATTGCTACCTTTCCACCAATTTGGATGAGAATCATCCAAAATGTTAACTAAAAATTTCAAAATAGAAATTAATTTCTGATATTTATCATCATGGATGTCGCTTATGCTTTCATATTATAATCTTCGTGTACATACTTATTTCTCCCGCTAAGAATGTCAGTTCATTATCCTCTGCAGCTTCAAAATCATACAAAGCACGTACTTTCCTGCCTTCTTGAGAGGTGCTTGGGGCTCCAAGCACAGAAGTCATACTAGGATATAAACTAGTATTTTTTTTAGAGGCTGGCGAGCTATGCGATGAAGTGCTTTGAGTATGAGCTTTAGTTTCTTGCAATGAAAGTTGTATGGCTGTAAAATATAATTTTATAATAATAAAATATTAAAAAATATACAATAAAAGTAAACTTAAAACACGTCATTAACCTCCAGATCGCCGGCATGACGCCGACATAATGCATCATGCAATGACTCATATGTATCTTGAACAATGTATAGTTACGGTGACTATGTCGTGCTTTATCATTAAAGCCCTGTATCCATGGTATTAGAACTCGGTTCAAGTTCGTAAGTCCTGTGTCCACGGTGCTAGAACTCGGTCCGAGTTCTTGGATCCAGGAATGTGTAGCCAATCAACATATAGTTTTTATGGAAAAACGGCAAGTTGATTGGTTACACATTCTCGGTCCAAGAATTCGAACCAAATTCTAGCACAGTGGACACAGAGCTTAAAGGCCCAGCTACATCTATCGTCGTATTTATCAACCAAATCTCGTACGATAATATAGTCGAACCAACTTATCAGAAAACTGCTCATATTATATCAATTTGATTATACTGTGCAATAAATTTTTATAATGTATGGATTCTTGACAGTCACAAACTGGTTTGAAAACATGTAGGAACAGTCTTAAAATTTTCAAATTTGTCCTTTATTTTTTTTAAGAAAATATGATCACTATATGTATGTATAGTAGACATATATGTATTATTATAGTATATATGGATTATTATAGGACTTTATGAGAAAACTATCCATGATTTTGGATTTAAAAATTCGAACGATCTAAAGGTTATATATATGTATAATAGAAATAATATTAAGCTTACCTCTTGCAATATCTGATTCTTCTTGCGAGTTTGTTACTACATTAGGATCTCTGCTTAGAGTGCTAGAACGTTTCGGCTAAAAGATATTGCATTTTTAATATGTAAAAAAATTTTTAAATATTGATTTAATAGTGTCATAGGCCTAGTAAGTTAATATATTTGTTGAAGTGCATGCAGTGACTTATGTGATGCAATATAAAAGGAATACATAATATCGATAAGTGACCTTATCTGACTCGTTTAAATGATACAACTTAGTCTGGAGATTTGTATTTCAATATTCAAAATTACATAAATATGGTTACTAAAACTGAGCACGAGTGTAGCATGATGGATAGCGCGCAAGTCTACCATGCTAGCAGACCCGGGTTCGATTCTCGGCAGATCTAAGAAATTTTCATACGCTCGTAGCTCCTCTTTGGTGGTCTGGCAAACCACCAAGAGTATCTATTGCCAAGAAAACCTCTCAAACTACCGTTATAGGAATCGGTTTCAAATTGTAGATTCCAAATGTTTGTGTATAATCTTGCATGAGCGCCATAGACATATGTATGAGAATTACTAAGCCCTGTCCCGACTTTAGAATGTTGTGCCATCGAATAAATAAATATTTACCAGAATAAAGGTACAATAAATAATGCAGCAGGATAGAGGGACTCACCGTATCCGAGACAGAAGAAAAGTCATGGCCTTCACTTCTTAGTTTATTATATAAACTTGGAATCAGATTCAATTGTGGATCTGTTTTAAAATCACCTTCTACCCATTTTTTCAAAAGTGCTTTGGTTTTATCTACTATTTTCGGTTGTGGATGGTTAATAAGCTTTCTCAAATCATTTTCAAAATCTCGGGACGCAATTTCCAAATGGAAAACTTTTCCACAATTACTGGCACAAGCATCTAACAACTAAATCAAAGATAAAAAATTAAAATTTTGATAAAATTTGAGACATTTAGAGGTTTGATTTCATCAATGTAAGATTGACTTTAACTTATTTATCTTTCTCTAATTCTAACAATAAGAATTAGAAAAAGATGAAGAATAAATTAAACCAAAATTAAAGTTAATCTTACATTAGTAGAATCATGCTTCATTGTTAAAAAATATACTAACTGTTATAGCTTGCACGACTACATGAGGGTCCTGACAGTACAATCTTTTAACGATAGAACGTAAACAGTCCTTAGAATTTTGACTGGAAGTGCCGACTTTGTCACAGATATCCATTATTTTTCCCCATTCTTCCGTTACATTGTTCTCGTTAGTTGCCTTTTCTGATCCAATACAATTACATATCATGATTTAGATAGTGATATATCACAAGGTATTCACTGGTATCCATAATCAAGAAAATAACATTTTTTTTTTTATTTAATAAAAAGATTAAAAGATTAAAACATGACTAAGAAGATAATAATGGGTTAACTCGCAGACGTCACAGATAAGAATGCAACAAAGGGCCGGACATTTTCTGAAATTGCGTTGTGCCTCCTAGGTGAGAGATCACGCGGCAAACTGTCATCGGACGTGAAATCACTGCTGTCTCGCGTGTAAAAAAACCGCAAAAGTCGGATTTGGGGAGCGGAGAAACAGCATGAAAGATATGACGATGTGGCCAGAGGAGGTCAAGTGTCAACAACCGCTTAATACGCCCAATACAGAAAACGAGTCGTTCCTCGCGTAGACTCGTGAAGAGTAATCGCAGGCACTCGCGATAACGTGCCCAGCGAGAGGCAGCGTACTCGATTACGATATCTGCCAATGCGCGTATCAGATTAGACGACTGTAAGGAAACGGGGATATTACTCACCGACGTCAGCGTCGAAGGGCGAGGAGGTCTGAAAGAGGCCCATCATCGCGGCTTTCTCGTGGAACAGCCGTGAAAATTATTTTTAATGTCGTCGCGCTCGCACGTCGGCACGCCGTCGCGAAATAACGCTACGCATCCAGCTGATATTTACTCACAAACGTCTGGCCAAGCAACTGACGATACTCCGCTCTGCCGCACTAACGGACATCTTGCCTCTAGATCTGCTCAGAACTTATCGATATATAGATATCGATTTCTATCGATACTTTTCGATATGGAGTGTGTCACAACAGAGAGAAGCCTGAGAGCGGCCATGCCCGGGATTTAGCTGCAACTTAATTTTGAAGCGCCTC